GATAGATAAAAAAAAATGCAAACTTTTTTGTTGGTAGGATGTGATGTTTATGCTGGTATGGCACCAATGGTGAAGACTTGTGTTGTGAGTCTCTTTTGTATTCAAAAGAAAGGTTTTCGGCATCGGTAAATTGTCAGGGATTCTATTTTCTTGTTATCAGTGAGATAAATCGGGGTTAGAGGGGTTTTGGTCAGTTCAGATTGCGGATTGGATTCATTATGGATGTGGTTTGAATGGTTATATATGTCTGGAAGTCAGGGATGGGATAGAGTTTTTAGATTTATGGCAGAGTAGTTGGATTTGATCTTTGTTGGTTAAGGGCAGTGTGTTAAGGTTCGTTTCTTTGTCAGGATATGTGATTTCTGCCAAGATTGGGTTTTGGTAGCAGTGTTGGAAGGCATTCGTCTGTGTGAGATGATTTCTTAGTTCTATTTTTAATTCAGGAAATTTTAGATCAGATTGACTGATGTAGTATAGTAACTTGTAAGGAATGAATTCGAGGATGAAATCTAATTTAAGTGGGGGAGAGTTGTAACACCCATTTTCCAGATTGGATCAGTGTAGGGCATAAAGGAGTCAAAGGCGTGATTTTTGAGAAAAATCATGCGTCACGATGTGACCATATGGAGGTCACGACGTGACGAGCCAAAATGGGAACGCATATCTGGAAGAATGTCACGACGCAACATTAGTATGGCCACGACGTGACAAGGGTTGTAGCCCAAGCCCATGATCTTTTATGGTTTCCTTCATACTTAACCCCTACCTAATCTTGGATTTAGGGTTTCATTTCCTGCATCCATCACCCTCTACAACTTTAAGCAAACCCTAATACCCTCTACTTAAATTGTGAGCTTAGTCTTGGAGTTTTAGTGCACTTTGAAGCAGAAGAAGAAGAAGAAGAAGAAGAAGAAGAAGAAGGTTTTGGAAGAAATATCAAGAAAGCCATCCACTACACCCTTGGAATCACTCTTTGGACCATTTGTAAGACTTAAAGCTTCTACCTTTATGATTCATTCCTTGTAAATCTAGCTTTCTTTGCATGTTTAATCCACAAAAGGAGTTTGTATGATGGAATGAGGTAAAGTTTGCGATTTTATGGCTTATCAAGGCCCCTTAAGCCTTATATCTTTTAGATCTAGAATGTGGATGAGAATTAGGAGCTTTGCATGATTTTTAGGTCTTATTCTTTGCCTTTTGACCTAGTTTGGGTAAAGGATATTCATGGGTCATGTATGTCCATAAATTTGAAATTTTTATGAGCCTTTGGAGTCCTTAGAAGCTTTATGAAATATAGGAGTTGAAGGCTTAATGTGTTAAGGACTCAATCTATAAAGATGTTTCCAAGTCGGTGGCTACGTCGAGGCATGGAGAGTGCCATGAAATGATGGTGGTGGATTACTTGATTATTTTGTCCAGATGTGTTCACGATGTGACCAAGGAGGATCCATATCGTGGTGACTATTGATTGAGTTGTCCGTGACTGTGTTGGCTAAGTTTGAGCATGGCCGAGTTTGGAGTCGGGTAGAGTGCATTCTCACGACGCGACCATGGGTTGGTCACGACGTCAGGGTCAGCTGTTGGTGATGTTGAATGTTGACTTTGACCTTGACCGTTGAATTTTGGCATGGGTTGACTTTTGGTCTAATTTCTAGTTGTAGAAGGCATACTAAGGGTTTACCTTGTATGGTTTTAGTAGGAAGTGTTTAGCACCCGTTCATTGGCTGTGAGAGTTGTAAGCTGGTGAATTCGTCGAAAAGGTGAGTCTTCTCACTATACTATGTAGGATGCTAGTTGTCTTTGTGATACTTACATGGAATACCCCAGGGATAGCTCATGGCATTTGTATATAAGACAATGGGGGTAGCCCAGGGCAATGCGAGGAAAAACCATGTGGGTAGCGTATGGTGGTGCAAGGAAATACCAAGGGGTAGCCCATGGCACTAGGATGTAAGATCATGGGGTAGCCCACGACACTTCATGGGAAAGAGCATGGGGGTGTCCCATGGAAAATGTATGTATGATATATGGTATTTTGGGGAACTTACTAATCTGTGTTTTTACGATTTTGTGGTTTAACATTTTTCAGGTACGTCTAGTTCAAAAGGGAAGGGCCCGACTTGACTGCACAACATCCTCTAATGGCTTTTCCATAACTGATTATTATTCTTTTACTCTGATGTTTGGAAAACACGATTTACTTTCATTGGTTTTGGAACAAATGGTTGTATGGATTTGATGCTTTAAAAATGAAAATTTTACTTGTATTTTTGGGACATGACATGTGGTCTTCTTTTTGTCGATTTTTCGTCTTTTGGTGATTGCTTACATTGCTCACGCTTCCAGCTTGGCTTTTAGCCTCTTTTCTCTCGAGAATGTCCTTATTTCTACAAAATAGATTTACAACGTAATAAGTACCAATTTTTTTTATAGATGACTAAAATGTAGCTAAAAATACTAAGATGTCGCCTAAAATATATGACTAAATAGGGTGATATCAATGATGATTTTATGATTTTGACTTCCGCTATGTTTATTATAATTCTGATAAGATTTTATGATGTGGTTTTGTGGTGATTAGAAAGTTTGATATTTGGTTTTTATAAAAAAGTTTGGATTTGTATTACTCTTTATTATAAAAAGAAAAAAATGGTTTGAAATTTTCGGACGTTCCAGTTAAACTTTCAATTGAATGTTGATTTTAGCGTTTTAGTTTCATTTTTTTTTCCATTTATATCATTCAACTGTTATAGATATTGATTTCTCCAATGAACAAAATACCATATATTTTTATAATATCCTCGTGCCGTGCATTCATGCGAGCCTAGCTGTTAGTATTTATATAACTTAGAAAAGTTAGGTAATAATTACTTGCAACGAAGTCGTTCGCTAGCAGGATATCATCATCGAATTCTTCGCGATGGTTATGAAAACCAAGGAGCGGTTTTATGATAATAAGGAAAAAAAGATGAAATGACTTTAAAGGTGGGGACCATTGGTCACCCTTTCACGATTCAGCAACTTATTTTTACAAATATGGTTAAACTAGTGGGGTGGGCCGCTTGTTGCACAGGGTTTATTAATCTTATATTTTCACACAATTTTTTTAGGTTCTTTTTCTATGATTTTGTGAAAAACAGGAAACATTTCTATAATTTTGTGAAACAAGGGGACAATTTATGTAAATTTGCTAATAAGCAGGTACAATATCTATACTTTTCTAAAATATATGAGTCATATCTATAAAATTGTTATCAGGAAGGAACCATTTATGTAATTTTTCTTTTAAATATAAGGATTATTCCCCCTAAAATAATTCTGTAGTAGACTTATTCTACAAATTATAGACTGTTTTCATAATTTGTTTATATGTAGGGACCATTTTATAATTTCATATTATAACAGTGACCATTTTGTAACTTAAAGGAGCCGTTTTTGTAGATATTTTTTTTGTCAGTTTGGATAAATATGTCAACAAATAACAAATATAAGGAGTTATAAAATATCTTAAATATTAGAAAAAATGTTTATTCCTAATGTCTTGTCTGTTTTAATGAATAGCACATTGTATAATTTGTGAACCAAATGCATATATTTTTTTAATGTTTCTCAACCATATAAAAGTAATATAATAATGTAACAATAATATAAAACAAACTTTGAAAAACAAACATTTCGATTTATAGCATTGATATAAATCCTTTACGTAATCTACATATATAGACCGGAACTGGACCGGAACTGTCTACCTGAGTCTGTGAATAAAATTTTTAGTTTTAAAAAATTGATGTAACCTTCATTGGTTAACATTACTCATTCAGATCGGGCTTTTGGCCCCATGCTTTGCCTAGGGGGTTTTTTTTTCGAGAAGACGAGGTTGGTCTTAGCCTTTCAGCGCTTTTAATTTGGACTATTCTTCAATCAGCGGACCGAGCATAGTCCCGGACTAGGCTTTCGAGCCGGCCCATGTCGGACAATTTTGAACATAACTAGTAGTCGTGGCTTACATAAAGCAATATAATTTATTTTAAAGCTAAATTGGGGCATTTCTTGAGAAAAATGAAACATGAGTTATACAAAAGTATGGCTGCAACCGAAAACTTGATGCAAAATTTAGCTAGTATATATACTCCTTCCGTCCCATAATTATTATCCACTTTTGATTTTTAAAGTCTTTATTCATCAACTTTAACCTTAAATATTTTTATTTGTATTATGTATTACTTGATGAAAATTATAATAATGAAAAGACATTTAAAACACAATTCATTCATATACTTTACATCAAATATTATATATCGAAAACAAAAATATAAGACAGATGCAGTATTTGATATGCACATGTAAATGTAGAAATTAAGTGAACAACCATCCATGAATTCATTTATATTATGGTATTTTCTTTCTTCTTGGCTGAATTTACTTACTAATCAAATGATTTTATTAGGCTAATTGGTTGTGCAATACTAAAATACTAAGAAAATGCTAAATTTGAAAGACTAAAAAAGCTTCGGCTTCTTAGATATGGAACGGGCTTTTTAGATATGGAACAGGCCAGGCTTAGACTGCTCGTTCTTACCGGTGGGTTTCAGTATCTAAAGAATGGTATGGGCTTTTTAAATCCAGTGTGGACCCGACATCGACAAAGACCGGGTTTTTTTTGTTGTCCGAGCCGATCCTAGTCTTGAAATTCGTTAAACCATTTAAGGATTTAAAGAAATGGACCCAATGATTGACTATAAATACATAAATTGTGGAGTTTGGACCCCTGTAAATCATGTGTGAACTAGCCATAGTCGTTGCTCTAACAAATCTTCAATTCCTTAATTTTGCGTCAATTCAAAGACTTCAAAAATGAATGATGAAATTGATAGTAATGGATAAAGTTCCATAATAAGTAGGAGAACAAATGTTAATTACTTGATAATAACCTAAAAACTGAAAACCAATTATTTTGAAACATATATGGCAAGGCCATTTATTAAGAAAATTTTCGACTTTCAAGCAGTTGATGTGAAGTTGAAATTAGCACAAGTTGTTGATCGACCAAGAAGCGAGGAACTGAATCCTAGCCTTGATGTCGAAAGATCAAACTGTAACAGATTGTCTTCAATTTGATGCCCTCCAATAACCACTGCAAATCTAGGTCGGAAATCCGTACGTGCTTCAACAAATCCAAGGCACAAAACATTCTTTTTCACCTCAACCATGGAGTTGGCACCAAATATCCTCCAAGACACACTCTTGCTTTGCAAAACAAGGTCAATCGAAGGCACAGCAGGACCCAGACGAGTGCTACTGATGTTGTTGGAGCTAAAACAAGCTCCGAAGGGTGCAACTGAAGGAACCCTTTGGACATTCTTGGGCATTGCTTTTACAAATGCAGCGACAACAGCAGTGTAGATTGAAGTTTCCAAGACGGTGTAAGGATCGGCAGTACTAATAGTTGTCCCACCATAACCTTCAGCATCGATGGACAGCAAGGTTTGGTTGATTGGGACGCGTTTATCATTGATCTTGATTGATGTAACTCCTATAAAGTATTTAGGAGAGGCGTCACCCAAAAACCCATTTTCAGTAACAGGGTTTATGATGAGAGGGGTGTAGGTAAGAGATGAGGAAGCATCAACATTTGGAAGCAACGTATATGGTCCATTCCCAAAGAACACAACCCCACTTGATCTGGTTGAGGAACTCAAACAGAGAGCAAATTTCTGATCGAATCTAAAATATGAAGATAACTGTGCAGGAAGTGAAGCTCCGGTTCTTCCAAGACCAGCCATGCCAGTAACCCCACTAGCAAGACCAGCTTCAATGAAGTTATTTCCACAGACGAAATAAAGACGAGGGTCGGTAACGACTTGCAAAACGTTCTTTCCGTCGGTTGACTGTATGGCGAATACATCTGCACCAAGCTGACCACTGGTGCCGGTATTAGCGACGGAGTTGGTAGGTCCATGGCCACAAGTGTTATTGTAGCAGTCGGGAGCTGGTGCAGAATAACATTCGGTTGTGCATGAAGTGGTGTTCAGAAGTTGGCATGCGGCGGAACCACAAGGTGCCGGCCGGTAGGTGGAGGAGGTGTAGCCTCGCTCACAGTTGACCCACATGTAGTCGCCACCAAGATCGAGGGTCAATTTGACAGGTATCAGAGGTGTTCTTTGGGAAACTTGAGTGACATATTGAAGTGTTTTGGCATCTTTGGTTACCTTCAGAAGAAGTGCCTTCGGACGTGATGAGGTCTGGGCTACTGATGAAGACACAATCAAAATCAAGAGAAAGCAAAGCAAAGTGAGTGAAAGTGAAGAAAAAGAAGAAGAAGCCATTAAATGAAGGGATTCTTGGTGCGATATGGATAATGGAGGATGGATAAGGTGGGTATTTATTGGGAAAAATAACGTCGCAATTCGTGTTTTATTACACGCAATCTCATCAACTTGATCAAATATTATTTGTATTTTTATATTTTGGCGGCCAATGACTCAGATGTATTTGGTCAACCTTGCGGTCGCATATACGGAGTATATTAGATAGAACATATACCGAGTATATTAAATAGAAATGACCGACAACACGATCTTGTTAAATTAATTAAACAAATATATCTTTCACATGTATACACATCGTTTGTTTCCTGTTTTCAAGTCAATAACAAATTAGTAAAAGTGTGCGTATACGCTATATTATATTATTGTTCATCCACCCAACAACCTAATAAGGGTTTTTGAAATTTTATTTTGAAGTTAAAAATGACTTTTAGACTTATTGATTTATCAATGTGTTAAAATGAAATGTGTTAAAATGAGATTTTAAAAAAATGTTTGGATTTAGTTTTTTAGTGGCAAAAAGTTAATAAATCAATAAATTAAAAAATGGTTGGATAACTTATTGACTTTTGTTTGTTTTTTTTTTCTAATAAGTTATAAGTCATTCCAAAAATCATAAATTATAACTTCTTCAAAACTCATTTTCAAAGGCTAAATCAAAAGCTGTTTTAAAAGTCTTTATTAAGTATCCAAACATTTTTTTTTAACTTATTGACTTTTCAATAAGTCAATAAGTTAAAAAGGAGTTTCTAGATGAAATCTCAAACACCCTCTAAATAAGTAAAGTCATGTGTTGTAACCTCAACTTTGTTTATTTAAGCATATAAATGCATAGCAACACAAAATCACTGAGCAACTATTGTATCACACGAATCTCTCTCTCTCTCTCTCTCTCTCTCTCTCTCTCTCTCTCTCTCGGCAATCAAAGGTAATTCCAGCAATTAGTGAAAGACTCCTTTCATAATTAACATTATTACTCCAAAAATGCTACATGCATATTCATAAACATATTTTACATATATGGTTTTGTTACAAAAGACTGGATACAAACCGACTAACGAGGTTTTTACAAAGTTTTATATATTACATAATTTCCCAGGAATTTATACACAAAATACAAAAGCCATAATATTATCTATTCTACATCTTCTAACTATACATACCTATACTGGATGCTTATCACCTGTAATAAGTAAACACTGAGAGGGATAAGCGGATGACGCTTAGTGAGTTCAATAACAGTTATAATATAACGTTATGCCATATATATATATATATATATATATATATATATATATATATATATATATATATATATATATATATATATATATATATGACAGAAGCAAAGAGAAACAAAGAACAACAAAGGCAGATGAGTATCATATGACAGACTTTCTATATCAATGAATAATCTGATTCAAAGATTTACAATCAATGAGATACAACAATTTCAACATGATATACAACAATAAGACTTTAGCCCAAGTGGCATAGAAAATACAATTTTGAATTATCATTTGGCTAGCAATTTATAGGCTTTCAGCCCTGCCTAGCCTTCTGCCAATGCCAACGTGATGATTAATCATTCACTTCATGGTCAAAGGCTACATACCAATACCCAAGTGATGCTTAGTCATTCACTTCGTGGTCAAAGGTATAGCTCATTATCATAAAAACACAGGAAAGCACATTGCACATATAACACATAACATACAATTGTCACTATATTGAACTCACCGTGAAATAACTGAATGATAAAATGATAATTTGGGCAGCACTTCGCCTCTAAAACTGACTTTCTTTAACAAAACCGGAGATTTTAGTTGAAAATCGGGCCTTGTGCGGGCAGAGTTTCAACTTGAAAAGATTATTTTCTCGGGTCTTCGGTGCGTCGGGACTTGCTTCGGGTATCGGGGATGTTTCCTAGGCTTCGGGGGGTGTTAGGGTAATTTGAGAGAGAGTAGGGGGTGAAAGAGAGTCAAAATTCTAAACAAAATTCGGAGAACCTCGCTTTCTATTTATAGTAGCCGAGGGTTCGCATTACGCTGGGCGTAAATCTCCGGTACGCGGGGCGTATTGCCTCGCAGACTTTTTCGCTGGGCGTACGAAGTGGATCAGCTCGGACGCGTCAAGCCTAAGACACGTGGCACTCATGTGAAGGATTAAGGAGGGTGACAGACTCCGGAGCACCTACACGAGTACGCTGGGCGTACTCCTTCGGACCAGCCTCGAAGTTTATGCCCAAAACTTCAAAAATTCATATTTTTCGCATACGAGCTCCATTTTTGACATTCTTTATATGCACGGGTAAGTGAAATTATGCTCTACAACTTTTGTTTAGACTCTGTCGGCTAATTTTGACTTCATTTTTAAAGTTATATTTTTAATAGGCCTGGATAGGAAAAGTCCGTTAAAAATTCATAACTTCTTCATCCGACGTACGTTTTCGTCTGTCTTTTTACCGTTGTACTAGTAATGACGAGATCTTCGATTCTCGTTTAGGTTGTGTCGGCTAAAAATCACTCGATCTTTATTTCGAGTTTAGGGCTGTGTACTACTCTGCCGAATCTTAGAAGAATCATAACTTTCTCATTCGAAGTCAGATTTGGACGTTCTTTTTATGAAAATTCTCAGTTTAACGAATACTATGATTTTCATTTTTTAAATTACTAAGGCTAAAAAGTAGTTTATCGTAAACTCACTTTTTACGTCATATGGCGTCGTGCCGGTTCTGTCGCGAAACTTTAACGAGTCATAACTTCTTCGTTATAACTCGGATTTCGATGAGGTTTTCGCCTAAATGTTTCTAACGAGATAATCTACAACTTTCAATAACATCATTTTTAATTATTTTCCAACTTAAATTTTACATTTTCGTTAATTTCAATATTTGACTTTTGATTGGAATCTCATAAGACTTCCAATACTTCCCGAATGATTCTAAGCATAGTTTTACTTCAAAAATCTCATAAAACTATCTTGTTAGAACTCAACGCTCAAAACCATATAATATTTAATAATATTCATTTTTAAACAAAACACGATAACTGAACGTGTATGTTATAAATACCTCCTCCTATTGAGGATTTTGTCCCCGAAATTACAACGATTTAAACAAATGGGGATATTTCGGTCTTATCTCATTCTTATTTTCCGAAGTATAATTTGGGCCTCGATGGTGTTTCCACTTGACAAGCACCAACTCCACTTCTTTATTACGCAATTTCAGTCGCTTTCGTTTACGATTTCTTCATGCTCTTCGACATATCTTAATTTATTATCCAGTTTCACCTCGGATAACGGAACTGTTTCATTATATATGCTCAAACATTTACGTAGATAAGTCAAATGAAACACGTCACGAATACCTGCCAAATCTTCAGGCAATTCCAAGCGGTATGCTTGCTTACCAATTCTCTGGATGATTTTGAAAGGACCCACAAATCTAGGACTCAATTTTCCTTTTTTCCCAATCGCATAATGCCTTTCCATGGGGACACCTTCAATATTACAAAATCACCCACATGGAATTCTATGGGTTGTCTTCTCTTTTCTGCATAGGACTTCTGTCGATCCTGGGCCGCTTTCATTCTTTCTCGTAAAATTTGAATCTTGTCAGTGGTGTCTTAAATCATTTTAGGGCCTCCAAGGATTTTTCTGTCCTACATCACACCAACATAATGTAGTACGACATTTACGTCTATATAGTGCTTCATATGGTTGCATTTTGATTGAAGTATGGTAACTGTCATTATATGAAAATTCGACTAGAGGTAAATATTTATCCCAGTTACCACCGAACTCCAAGACGCATGCACGAAGCATATCTTCTACTGTTTGGATTGTTCTCTCCGTCTGACCATCTGTCTGGGGATGATAAGCTGTGCTGAGAGCAATTCGAGATCCCAATTCACGTTGCATACTAGCCCAAAAATGAGAACTGAAGCGAGTATCACGATCGGAAATAATCTTTAGTCGCACACCATGTATTGCAATAATTTCATCCAAGTATACTTGTGCATATTTCTCCATTGGAGCTGTTTCACGCATGGCAAGAAAATGTGCACTCTTAGTTAGTCGGGTGATAATTACCCAAATGCTATCATTCTGTCTCGCAGTCTTCGGCAATTTTGTAATATACAATCCATGAACAGCTCCTCCCATTTCCATATGGGAACATTAATACTTTCTGGACTCTCGTATGGCTTTTGGTGTTCCGCTTTGACTTGTAAGCATACTAAACATTCCTACACGTATCTTCCAATGTATCTCTTAAATCCAGGCCACCAATAATCAGCTCGTACATCATAGTACGTTTTACTCGTATCAGGATGTATTGACAGTTTAGACTTATGGGCTTCATCTAAAATCTTTTGTCTTAATCCACCAATATTTGGAATCCATAGCCGATTCTTAAATACTTTCAGTCCACGTGGATCATCAAGTAAAATGTCAGCATAATGCACCATCCCTTCCTTCTTCACATTTTCTGGCTTTAACGCCTCTACTTTCCATTTTCTTTTTCATCAAGAATAGTGAACTTTACAGTAGTGTGGGTAATAGCATAACACACACTATTATGATAAACCTTTCTGCTAAGTGCATCGGCAACTACATTGGCCTTTCTAGGATGATACAGGATTTCACAGTCATAGTCTTTGATAAGCTCCATGGCTCGCTGTTGTATCATATTCAAAGTTTGCTGACTGAATATATACTTGAGACTTTTGTGGTCAGTAAACAATTGGCATTTTGTACCAAAAGATAATGCCTCCAAAGTTTTAGGGCAAATACTACTGCAGCGAGTTCGAGGTCATGGGTGGGATAATTCTTTTCATACTCTTTCAGTTGTCTTGAGGCATAGGTTATTACTCTACCACGATGCATCAACACACAACCGAGTCCTAACCTTGAAGCATCGCTATACACGGAAAAATCATTATCACCTTCTGGGAGTGATAAGATCGGAGCATGAGTCAAAAGATCTTTTAGATTTG